TTATCGACGTGGTACTCGAGACATTTCGTTGTCACACGAGAGGATGTCGACACATTTCGTTGCCACGAAACCTTGTACTGGGTGGGCGAAGCGCAGAAAACAAAGGCCGTGTTGGGTGGTGGCGGACGCATGCGGGCGGTGCCACTGGGACCTTCCGTGGAGCCAACTTTTATGGGGCCACGAAACGCGGTACTGGGTGGGTGAAACGAAGGGAACAATGGCTGTACTGGGTGGTGGCGGACGCATGCGGGCGGTGCCACTGGGACCTTCGGTGGAGCTCCCTGTGGGGCCACGAAGCGCTGCAATGGGTGGGTGAAACGCAGGGAGCAAGGGCTGTGCAGGTTGGTGGCGGACGCATGCGGGCGGTGCCACTGAAACCTTCGGTGGAGCCCCCCATGGGGCCACGAAACCCTGTACTGGGTGGGAGAAACGCAGGGAGCAAGAGCTGTGCTGGGTGGTGGCGGACGCATGCAGGCGGTGCCACTGGGACCTTCGGTGGAGCCCCCTTATGGGGCCACGAAACCCTGTACTGGGTGGGCGAAACGCAGGGAGCAAGAGCTGTGCTGTGCTGGGTGGTGGCGGACGCATGCGGGCGGTGCCACCGGGACCTTCCGTGGAACTCCCTATGGGGCCACGAAACCCTGTAATGGGTGGGTGAAACGCAGGGAGCAAGGGCTGTGCAGGTTGGTGGCGGACGCATGCGGGCGGTGCCACTGAGACCTTCGGTGGAGCCCCCATGGGGCCACGAAACCCTGTACTGGGTGGGCGAAACGCAGGGAGCAAGAGCTGTGCTGGGTGGTGGCGGACGCATGCGAGCGGTGCCACTGGGACCTTCGGTGGAGCCCCCTTTATGGGGCCACGAAACCCTGTACTGGGTGGGTGAAACTCAGGGAGCAAGGCCGTGTTGGGCGGTGGCGGACGCATGCGGGCGGTGCCACTGAGACCTTCCGTGGAGCCCTCTTTTTATGGGGCCACGAAACCTTGTACTGGGTAGGCGAAACGCAGGGAGCAAGGGCTGTGCTGGGTGGTTGCGGACGCACGCAGGCGGTCCCAGCGGGTGGCTTCGGTGGAGCTCCCTATGGGGCCACGAAACGCTGAGATGGGTGGGTGAAACGCATGGAAGAAGGAGGAGAAAGGGGAGGAGGGGGAGGAGGGGGAGGAGGAGGAGAGGAGAAGAGGAAGGCGGGGACCGTCTCTTCAAAACGAGGACCCAACACCACAAGATGGTTGGGACAAATCATCAGAACGTCGGGGACCTGGGGAACTCCCAGATATCCAACGTCTCGAGAAACCCAATAGACGAGCGCGTTCCACTACTCCGAAAGTAGCTACTCGCAAATAGCCTGGAGCCGCCGCGGGGGATCTACGGTTAATTACATCGAAGCAGACATGTGGTCTTCGGGCGTTTGCGAGCAGGCACTTTGCGAGTAGTGGAACGCGCTCGGTGACGCAAGGCGGAGGTATTGCGCAAGTGTGGGTCGCTTTTGAGTTCCTTGCCGGGCCCCTGGACCTTCACATAGGCAAGAACGGGCCCGTGGGCACAGGTCCAGACCTCCAAAGGCCCTGAACTGAGAAACTCAAGACATCGGACGTACTGCTGAAAGAAACAAGTTTGCACCACCTGGGCGGCGCGACAACTGATGATGCGACCCCCCCGCCCCCGACCTTACCATTGAGAGCGGAAGGGCCCCAGGAGATGTCACAACCATCGATATGAACGTCGGGGGCGCAGGGAGCAGCAGCGCCATCCGATTCGCGACTCAACCCGAAATGGTGCAAACCGATTTCTTTCGACAGTACGGCGAGGGCATTGAATAAGGAACCCGTGGATAAGGAATCCAGGGCCTGGAAGCTGGTGGAACTCCGATCGAAGCCTGGCCATGAGTATCACCGCCGCCTTCATCAGATAAGGAATCCTCCAGGGTCTGCATCCTGGACACCTTCCTTAACCAACGCCCCCACCGTACATGGGCCCAGGGGGCCCGCACCAGAGGCCGCACCGGCGAAGGGCCACCCTTGCCCGCCAGCAGGCCTTCCAGGCCTGCCTGCCGCGGTCCCACTGCACGCCGGGGACCCCGCTCTTCTTCGCGGCCGCGGCGGCCCCGCTGCCGGGCGGCAAGCCCCCGGCCTCGAGGGGTCAGCGCCCCCAGGCTTGGGTCGGGCATGTCCCCCTGCAGGCGGATTTCGGGCTAAAAATTTACAATTGACAACAAATATCCAGAAAAAAAAACTCCAGAATAGTAGATCGTCCCCAGACTATGCTAGGACTATTTTTGCATATTCCTCACCCCGACTTCACCCCAGGCCCCCCTCGCGCCATGAACACGGCACGGCGGACGGTCTGTTCTTGCTGTCGGCCTCTGCGGCCCGGGAGCGTCCAACAGAAACGACTCGGGAGGAAAAAGCGGGGGGGGGGGAATGGGCCGACGCCGTGAGTCAATCATTGCGTCGGGGGGTCGAAGGCCAGAGATCCTGGGAGGCCCCCCGACGCCTTAGGCCTCCGGATGCGTCTGGAGCCTCATGGGGAGTGTCAAGAGCAGTCGTGGGCAAAGCTTAGCGGCCTGGGGCGCAAGGCCCGTTCCTGCCGCGACGACCCGCGTGTTGATTCCTGACTCTGCGTGGATCGCTGAACCTTGAAGGATGCCAGCTTTCTGACAACCGAGATCGTGAAACCTTGGCCGAGTTCACGCCGCCAGCGGCCCTGAACCTTGCACTCCCGCTCTGGCGCTGCAGCCGCGTCGACACGACGCGAGACTACCCTGCCATGAACCCATGATATCTGGAGCCCAGCATCCCCAAGCTGCGTTTCAGATCCAGGGTGACTCCAAAAACTGCTCGCGCGCCCCACGACTCCTCGTTGTCCCACGTTGAACCGTGCCCCTCTACGCCACACACGCCGCCCCTGGCGAGACAAAAGGAGGGCCGCTGGACGCGCCGCACCCCCCGCCTGCTGCAAAGGAGCCCAACAAACAAATACACACAAATCCCAGGATCCCCAATGTTTTCCCATATTCCTGGTTTTGAGGGTTTCCCCCCCCCCCCCCCCTTCCCATACTCTCCCATATCTTCAGGGGAGTCGCCGATTCATTGTGTCTGTGTGTTCTTTCCCCCTCTAATTCTGAGTTGGTCCGGTGGGAACAAGGGCGGGCGGCTCCCCAGCCCGACCCAAAAAGCAGTTCCAAGTCGGTCCTCCCAAGGCGTCTTCCTGGCCCGCTTTGCGGGGCGGAGCCGGCCGCGACGACGATCGAAACTCCGAGGAGGAGGAGGAGGAGGAGGAGGAGGAGGAGGAGGAGGGAGAGGAGGAAAAGGAGGAGGAGGAGGAGGAAAGGCGCGACCTCCGAACTATACACGTCGGGGCGGATCCGGCCGCGACGACCACCGAAGCCCCCCGGAGGCCCAGAAGACGAAACAGAAACGCCAGGGGAGCGCCGCTGGCCGCTGTCGCCACGGGCCCGGCCCCTGGCGAAGGCGGGGGCCCCCGGCGGGCAGCCTCGGAGGCACCGGGGCGCGCCGCCGTTGGCCGCTCGGCTGGCTCTGGGCCTAGGCCCCGTAGAGCGGGGCCGCCGACTAACCAGGACGCCTGTGGACGCCTGAGAAAACTGATATGTGCACATATGTATACACACGTGCGTGCGTGTGTATGTATACACACATGCATAAATACATACATACATACATACATACATACATACATACATACATACATACATACATACATACGTACATACGTACATACGTACATACATACATACATACATACATATATACATATATACATACATACATACATGCATACCTGCATACCTGCATACATATACACATACACACATAATTGCATACATGCATGCATGCAGACCTACATGCACATGGGCACATACGCACATACAGGTAGACAAACAAACACAATGTATATATATATATATATGTATACATACATACATACATACAAACACACGTCCATACATCCATACATACATACATACGCTCATGCATACACACATGCATGCATACATAGATGCATGCAGGCATGCAGGCATACATACATACATACATACATAAATATATATGTGCATATGAACAGACATGTATACATGCAACATTCATACATATAAACATATCTACATACACGTTCACATACATACATGAATGCATGCATGCATACACCCATACACATATACATACATGTACGCATCCAGATACATACCCGATACAGACATACATACACAGATACATACATGCACGCATGCATCCATACATACACAGATAACGACACATACACACATACATGCACACCTATATACATAAGTGCACGCATACCGATACACATGAATGCATACATGCATGCGTGCACACATACACGCGAACAAATATCAACACACACATGCACACATGAATACATCCATACATATCTAAATATATACATATATGCATACATACATCTACATACATACATACACACATACACACATACATGCATACATGCATGCATGCATAAATAGCTACATGCATACATAAATGCATCGAAACACGTACGCACATGCAAACATGCACACATCAATACATACATGCATGTATACATACATACATGCATACATACATGCATACATACATACATCAACACACACATACATACATGCATACACATACATGCATACATACATACACGCACACATACAGACACGCATACATACAGATATACATATATACATATATACATACATACACATATTCACTCACATCAGCACGTCCATACACACAAACATACATACATAATACTCACGTGCCTACATACATACACACATACACCAGTACGTGCTATGGACATATCTATGTATACCTACATACATGCACTCATACACACATACATGTATGTAATATATATACACATATTTATGTACATGATCCTTTTAACAAGTGTATGCTGCGTACCACGGCGAAGTTGCCGCACTTGATGGTCATCCGTTGCCATCTCGCTCTAGCCTCGAGCGAACTCCGCCCGTATGCTCTCTGCCGCTCGCGCGGCGGCCGATCTGCTGCTGCCAGAGCTGGGCCGCGGGCTGAGCACCGGCGTGGCGCTCTACGCGGCCAACCAGGGGCACGCCCAGTGCCCTGCGTGCTCGTGCGCGCCGCAGTTCCACTGCCCGGAGCTGCGGTGCGACTGCTCAGGCCTCCAGGGCTCGAGCAGTCACGGGCCCAGCCTCTGGGCCGTGGCGCTGGCCTGCGCCGCCAGCGGGCTGGTCGGGGCCTGCACCGCGGCGCTGGCCTTCTGGCGCGCCGGCGGCCGCTTCGTGGCGGCCCGCTGCCCGCAGGTAGGCCGTGGCGGGCAGCCTGACTTCGAGGAGGAGGCCCGAGCTCAGGCGCGTGTGGCTCGCGCCAAGGCTCTGCAGCAGTGATGGCGGCGCCGGCGCCGCCGGTCTACCCGTCAGTGGCCGCGGCGGGCGTTCAGCCCGGGGACTTCATCGGGGTGCAGTACCACGTGGCGGGCGCGGTGCTGATCCACGAGCGCGTGGTGGTGCTGGTGCCGCCGGGGCTGCCTGGCGCGGCTTGCATCATCACGCCCGACGCGGACGAGTACGATGAGCTTTACGCGGGCTCGCCAGACGTGCTGCGGTGGGACATCTTCCCTGGTGGCGCGGCGGGAGGCACGATGGCATGGGCGCCGGGCGCCCGCTACTACAGGTTCCGCAGCCTGCCGACGCCGGCCACGCTGCTGACGGCCGCAGCCGCTGCCGCAGGCCGTCTCGGCCTTGCAGCCCCGCCTGGGCCCATCGTGGCCAACGCAGGTGGGCGAGCGCTGGCAGCGCCGGCGGCGGCGGCAGCGGGTGCGCTGGTGCCTGCCGCTGCGGCCCCGGCCGCCGCCCCCGCTGCGGGCGTCGCCGGGCTGGTGGCCGCCTTGGGGGGCCCCGCGGTGGCGCCCGGGGCACCCGTGCCCCTTCTGCCGGGCGGCGCGGCGGCGCCGGCCCCTGCGCCCGCGCCGGCGCCAGCGCCGGCGCTTCCAGGCGCTGCTGCGCCTGCCGCACCGCCTGGCGCCCAGACCGACGCCCGCGTGCTGCCTGTGGCGTACAACGCCCTCGGCCAAAGGAAGCTGGGCTTCGCGGAGGCGGTGCTGCGCCTCGTGGAGCACGAGTGGCCGGACTGGCCCACATCGGGGCCGCGGACTATGCTGTGGGTGTCCCTGTTCATGAAGGACAACGGGATGTCGCCGCTGGGCCGCCACAGCAAGTGGCGGTCGGAGGGCCGCCTTGCGCTCACCGACGCGGGGGTGGCCGAGCACGAGCGCTGCTGCTTCTATCTGGAGCAGATCGTGTGCTACGACTTGCTGAACGTGCCGGACGTGGCGGCGGCGGAGATGGTCTGCAGGAGCATCCAGGTGCAGGAGGAGAGGTGGCGGGAGCGGTTCATCACCAATGCCGACGAATCGCTCGACTCGCACCTTTTCTACGGCACCTCGGCCAACCGGGGCAACGTGTGTGTGCACCCCCAGCTGCTGGCGTACGTCAGCGGTGAGCTCTCGAAGGAGTACGCCGTCGCCAAGGAGAGGCGCAAGGCTCGCGAGGAGCGCCAGAGCGCCAGGGCGCCGAACAACAAGGACAGGAAGGGCGGCAAGGACAAGGACAAGGAGGAAGGCAAGGGGTGAGGAGGAGCGGGCAGCGGGACGTGGGGCCACCCGCTGCGCAGAAGCTCGAGCACCAGGCCCTTTTTCGCGGCCCCAGCGCCGCCACCGATGATCTACGCCATCGGGATCTTTTTCCGCTTCCTCACGTGGCTCGACGGACCGAGCGCGTGCCCGAGCGCCGCCCCTGCCGGGCCGTGCGCCAGCGGCTCCGCCGCTCCGACGTGCTGCTGCAGTGGGCCGACCAGGGCGTCGACGCGCTCAACTGCCTGTATGGCCATGCTGGTGCACCTCCGTCGGCGCCCGCGAACCTGGGGCAGCCGACCAGTCTGAACTTTTTGGAGGACTGCTACCTGGGGATGGGCGCGATGCCGAGCGAGCCAGGTTTTTGTGAAGAAGCCCTCCGCGAGCTTCTCAGTGGCTCCACCGTCTACGCTGAGGATGGTGGCGCCCGGGTCCCGTACTCGAAGGAGCTGGTCTCCTGGCCTGAGGTGGGCTCCAGCCCCGTCGACCTCGTGGGCTGCCTCACTCAGGATGACGCTGATTGGGCACGGGATTGGCGACATAACTTGCTCAAGACGCCCGACGAGGCGCTGCTCGGAGCCCGACAAGCTTGCCCACGCGGACCCTTCGTCGACCCTCGGTTGGCGCGAGATCCAGTTTTGTATGGTGACTTTGTTCGGCGGCTTCATCAATGTGGCATGTTGCGCTTCAAGGTGGCCTCCACTGCCAAGCACATGATTGGTGTATTTTTTGTGAGGAAGAAGTCCGGCAAGCTTCGCATAGTGTTCGACACGAGGTACGCCAACGCCTTCTTCCACCCGGCGCCCGCGACGCGGTTGCCTACAGCGGCTGCGGTGTCTTCTGTGGAGTCGGGCGGCTTGCCGTTATGCGTGGCGGCGGGGGACCTCGACAATGCCTTCTACCGTCTCAGGCCCATGTCGGGCTTAGAGGACTGCTTCACGCTGCCCCCGCTTTCCTCCTCCCTGGCGGGTGTCACCGAGCTGGAGGGGGTGAGCATTCCGGCAGGGGCCAGCCTGGTTCCTTGCCTTACCATCCTGCCCATGGGGTGGTCGTGGGCGATGCACTTCTGCCAGGCTGTGACCATGCGCGCCATCTCGGTGGCGGGCTTCGCGGACTCGCAGATCGTGGAGGACGGTCGCTCCAGCGTGGCCCTGCCCGCCCGCTCAGACACGGCGGCGGCGGGCTACGTGGACAACTTCTACGTCTTCGGCCACGACGCCTCGCTGGTCACGCGGCGCCGGGATGACGTGTCGGCCGTGCTGCGCGGGTGGGGCTTGACGGTCCACGAGGAGACGGATGCCTCCCCAGACGCCGTCCTGGTGGGCCTGGAGCTTCGGCAGGGCCGCTGGCTGTCGATCAAGCGCCGCAACCTGTGGCGGCTCCGTGCGGCGCTGGACACCGTGCTGCGCCGGGGCTGCTGCTCCAGCAAGATGCTTGAGGTGCTGGTGGGCCACATCACGTGAGCCTGCTTGATCCGCCGGGAGCTGCTCTGCGTGCTGAGCTCCGTGTACCCGTACATGGCGGCCGGCCTGCCGACGACCTCGCGGCTGTGGCAGTCCGTGCGCCAGGAGCTGTGGCTCATCCGCTCGCTGCTCCCGCTCCTTCAGAAGGACCTGAGCAGCCCCTGGCACGACGTGGTCGGAGTGAGCGACGCCTCCGAGTTCGGAGTCGGCGTCGCCGTGCGGTCGGTGCGGCCTGACGCTGCGGCGCAGCATGGCCGCCAATGCGAGAGGTTGCGTTACCGAGTGCACGGTGCCGAGAAGGCCCGAGAGAGAGCCCTCCGCCCTCAGCCTCTACCATCCTCCGCATACGCCACAGCTTCGCTGCCTGCAGGACTGCACGGCCTGGACGTCTTGGGGCTGGAATCCTTCATCAGGGTGCACCCCAGGGAGTTCATGGAGGTGCCCAAGGAGTTCTTCGACGGGGCTCGCTGGGCTCCTGTTATCGCCTCAAGGGTCGTCGTGCCCGACAACATTCTAGCTCTGGAGGGGGACGCGTGTGTCTTGGGCATCAAGCACATCATGAGATCCAGGGCCGCTTTCGGGAAGCACCTACTTCTGTTCGTCGACAACATGCCGTTGGCCCTGGGATGTTGTAAGGGAAGGGCCGCATCCATTCATCTTCGTCGTTCTCTTCGAAAACTGTGTTGTTTGGCGCTGTGTTCAAATTGTACTATTCACATACGCTGGACGTGTAGCGAGTTCAACCCTGCCGATCCTCTGTCTCGTGGGCGTTTAGGCTGGTTCACAGGGCCTTACCGACGCGCTGCCGCCGCCCAGCCTGGCTGCTCTCGTGCGGGGCCCCCTGAGGCTGACGGGCCGACACCTGAAGGAGCCGGCCTCGATGGCGGGTGCCTCGGCCTCTCGCCGCCAGGCGGATCGCCACCGCAGAGCTGCGGCGGCTCGCCAGGTGGCGTCCGAGCGGGGGCCCTCGGGCGGCCTCTCGGTGCTGGAGCGGACGGCGGTCAGGCCGGGCACGGAGCGCCTATACCAGGTGTACCTCCGGGCCTTCCTGCAGTTCTGCCTCGTCATGGCCATCGACTGGACGAGCGAGGCCGAGATGGACGTCGCCCTGGTCACGTACCTGAACTCGATGTACTTCGAGGGTCGCGCCCCGAACGAGGGCTCTGTGCTGCTGGCGTCGCTGGCGCACTACACGCCGGCGCTGTACAAGAGGACGGCTCAGGCCTTGCCGAGGGCGACGCGCTGCTTGGCGGGCTGGCGCCGGCGCGTCCCGACCAGGATGCGCCTGCCGCTGCCGCGCAGGGCCGCCTTCGCCATCGCCGGGACGCTGGCGGCCTGGGGTCAGCCGCGCATGGGGCTCTTCGTGATGCTGTCGTTCGCGGCCTACCTCCGCCCGCAGGAGGCCTTCCGTCTGGCCGGGCGTCACCTCGTGCCGCCAGTGGCCCACTTGGGTCAGGCCCCCACTCCGTGGGGGCTGCTGCTGCACGACTCCGACTTGCAGCTGCCCGGGAAGACCAACCTGTGGGACGAGAGCGTGCTGCTGGACCAGGCGCCGTGGCTCGAGCCAGCCCTGGAGGCGCTGAGGACTGTCGCGGGCGACGGCCCCCTCTGGGACTTCCTGCCTACGTCGATTGCTTGGCTCTTCGAGGATGCCTGCCACGCCCTGGGCCTGGTGCACCTGCAGCCGCACCTATACTCCCTCCGTCACGGGGGGGCCAGCGAGGATCTGTTGTCGGGCGCCAGCGCCAGGACGCCGGAGCAGGTCATGCGGCGGGGTCGCTGGGCCACTGTGGCCTCGCTCCGCCGCTACGGCAAGGAGACCCGCCTCCTCCGGGAGGCCGCCAAGGTGGACCCCGACGTGCTGCTGTTCGGCGAGATCGTGGAGCGCAACTTCCTGGACGTGCTGCGGGGCGGCCCCTTGCTGCCGCTGGTGTGGGGCGAGCTGCCTGCAAGCGTCGGCCCCCGCCTGCGGGGAGGGCCCGGGGCCCCCGCCGCCACGCGGCGCCGCCGGCGCTGACGGCGTCGCCGCAGGCCGTGCGGCTTCACCTGCAGCGGCGGTACCGCCGAGGCCGCGCGGGCGCCAGCAAGTGGAGGAGCTGCTTGTTTCTGGAACTGTTCGCGGGGCAGGGTCGCATCTCCAAGCGCATCTGCGACCTGGGCTACGGGTGCCTGGACCTTGACCTCGCGCACGGGGCCTGTGAGGATCACCTCCACACCACGTTCGAGTCGGTGGTGCGCGGGTGGCTGCTGAGCAAGGCCATAGTAGGTCTGTGGCTGGGCACTCCCTGTACGTCCTGTTCGCAGGCTCTCAGAGACCCTTTGCGCTCCAGTCGTTTCCCCATGGGTAAACCAGGTTTGTCAGGAGCTCGGCTGGACCGCCTCCGTGTAGGCAATCGCTCTTTCCACTTTTCCTGCCGGCTCATCCGGCTCTGCATCCAGATTGGCTGCCCTGTCTTTTTGGAGAACCCTCGAGGGTCGCTGCTCTGGCACGCCCCCGAGATGGTCAAGCTTCTCTCGGATTCATCGTGCACCGTTCACAAGATGGACATGTGCCGCTTTGGCACACCCTTTAAGAAGCCAACGACAGTGGCCTGCTGGAATGCAGGCGTCTTCCCCAGCTTATGTAAATCGTGCTCTGGCAAGGGAGGCATTTGCTCGTCGACTGGCCTGCCTCACCTCATCCTCCAAGGTCGGGACCAAGGTGCGCCTGCCCGCCGCACCGAGCTGGCCGCGGCGTACTCGCCTCAGTTCGCCCGCGCTGCCGCCCTTGCCATGACACACTCCGCCAATGCACTCAGAGAGAAATGGATGATGGATGCTGCCTTCAAAATCATGTAGTCTCATTTCGGTAGTTTAGGATTTGTCACGTGCGTAGTTCGTTTTCGGCCACTGGTGTGGCCAGGACTGCTCTGCGGGATTCGGGTGGCTCTCTTCAGTGTCTTTGAAGGTGTGCGGCTCTCGCCGGGATCAGCTTTCAGTTGTATAGCCTCCGGCATGCCGTGGCCTCGCCCTCCCGCGCTCGTCCCCATAGTAAATACATCGTCCTGGCATCTGGGGAGTGGAAGTAGCTATATATGTACTTATCTGTGTATGCACATACATATACGTATATATATATATATATATATATATATATATATATATATGTACACGTATACACATCTAACTTCCGAGCACCATTTTGGGGGGGAGGGGGGGGAGTGGACACAAGCTCGGTGGCGCAGTCGTGCAGCGACCAAGCTGAGCGCGCTAGTTACTTCGAGCGCAGGGCACACGAGTGGTACGGAAGCGTCCAGCCGCTTCGACTGGCCGTTCTGCGAACGCTGCCCGAGAAAACCGAAGCTGTGGGCCGCAGCGTTCCCCGCTCCCCGTCCGCTCTGGCCGGAGCTTTCAAAAGTCCTGGCCCCACGCCCCGGACGCCATACCTTTTTCACAGCGTGGACCGCTGGAGTTGTGGATGCCATGACAATGGACACCCTGACAAACCTACCATTGAGTAGAAGATCTGAGTAGAATGTTTGAAACATGTTCCTACAACAATGTGCTAGACATGTTTAAGACATGTTTTGAAAATACTTGCTTCGCATCTGGAAATTATTTGGCAGCACGCTTCCTCTCCATTGACCGTCGCCCACAACGCTGGAGGTCTCGACACCGTCCCTGGGACATCGGCGTCTCATCCCGAGCCGTTGGCTGACGCTCCTGGGGCCCGGCGAGGGGCCCCCCAGCGACCACACACTTCGAGAAACTGTCCACCGCTATTTGTGGACGACTGGGGGGAGAGGGGGGGGGGAACAAGAAAAAAAAAAAAAACGACTGGGAATTGCAATACGCTCTCCGCTCTCGGTTCCCTCCCGCTGGACTTGTCCTGACCCTGAGATGCGCAAAACAGAAATCAGCAACGAGAAAAACCTGCGTCCTGCGCCAGTTTTCGGGCCCGATCGATCTGGATGGTCCCGGGGCCCGGTACCAGGCGAGGGCGCCCGGCGCGAGAAAAACGCTGCAGCGCCCGGATCTCAGGGCTCTCTCTTCGGCCAGAAGCTCCAGAGTCTGCTGGGGACATACGCTTTCTCATGGCACGGAGCGGCGCAGTCAGGCAGCACCTTCCTTTCCCCTCCCCGTCGTTGCTCCTGCGCGCGCGGGCTGGCAGGAGGGAGGGCCAGACCCATTTTCACTCAGGCCAGCATGAGGAGGCGACGTGGTCGCCGAAAGCTTACCCAGGGCGCCTGAAAAAAAAACGAGCTGTCCCCATCACACGCCCGAGATCGTCACTTGATATATCTGAGGAAAACAGAAAAGGCGGCAACCTAAATGTTCGGAGCTCCGCGCGGATTTCTGGGATCTGCGCTGCAGCCTCCCCCTGGTGCGCGGGGCGCGCCAGGGGGCGGCGCCGGAGGCGCCGCGAGAGGGGGCTCCAGCTCGGGTCGACATGGTGCGGGCGGCGCTCCGAATTTGTACGCTTTACGCCGCTGCTTCCTCTCCGAGTCCTGCGTGCGAGGGCCCGGCTGCCAGGGCCCAGGCTGCTCCACGGCGCAAGCGGCACCACGCGCCAGTGCTACCAGGGGCGCGGCGGGCGGGCGGGACGACCAGAGGTCCTCCCTGTGACCCCCGACTGCTGCGGCGTGCCAGGGAGACGCGGGAGACGGAAGCAGGAGAGGGAGACCAAAGCGGGGGCGCACGCGGGGCTAACTGTGCTTCGCCTTCTCGAATCAGCGTTTACTCAGATCTGAGGATAACCAAAAAACTGCAGCATCGCACAAAAAAACACTGCCGCAGCCCCAGACTCCTTCTTTCTGCGTCACTATTCGAACCAAGTCGATATGTGAGGATCCCGGGGACCGAAACCGGGCCAAGACGCCCGTTGCGAAAACAGTGCAACGCAAGGGTCTCAGGAAAACCTTTGCCTCAAGCGTTTCGAGACACAGTCCCCCGACCTCTCGGCCACTTCCCTGGGACCGGCTCTTCATCCCGAGTCGTTATTTGACGGCCCCGAGGCCCAGCAAGGGCCCCGAGAGGCCAAAAACTTTTTAACAAAACAAACAAACAAACAAACAAAAAAAAAAAAAAAAAAAATCGCCTCGAGCCCTTCGAGGCGCCGCAGATCCTGGATCCGCGCCTGCGGGGGCCCGTCTGCAGGGTCCGCGGCTGCGGCCTGCAGCGGCGCCGGCGGGCCCGCGGGCGGCGCGGGCGACGCCAGGCGCAGGCGAGCGGAACGGCGCGGCTCGGGCGCCGCGACGGGCGCGGCCGCGGGGCCGCCGGCGGGGAGCGCCATTCTGGTGGATGCAGTCGGCGCCGCGCCCGGGGTGGGGAGGGGAGAGAGCGGGCAGGCCTTCTTGCCACCCCTCACCCTCCTCATGCCTCCTTTATCCTGCCTCCTCCTCCTCCTCCTCCCCCTCCTCCTCCTCCTCCTCCTCCTCCTCCTGCCCCCGCTCCTGCTCCTGGTCCTCCCTCCTCCCTCCTCGGTCCTCCCTCTTCCCCCATCCTTCCTGCCTCCTCCCCCTCACATCATTAATTTCTTTTTACTTCTACATAAAATCTGGCGGACCGGGCGTGTCGCCAGAGACTTCCTCACCACTTATGATCCTGAAGCTTAAAAATTGTCTACAGCTTCACAGATGGAGGGCGGGCGGCTCTCAAAAGGTGATTCTCGCCTTAGCGCCGCGCGCAGTCGTTGAAAAAATTGAAACAGACTCACGGATTGTGGGCGGGTGGTTATGAAAAAGTGGCTCTCGCCATAGCGCCGTTGTAAGACCTTCACGGATTGAGGGCTGCTCCTTTCCAAAATGTGGTTTTCGCCCCAGCGCCGCGCACATTCGTTTTAAACACTTGCCGGGCAAATCATGGCAAAATTATTCTTGGAGATTTTAATGCCAGCGTGGGGCAGGCACGCATTGGAGAAGAATCCATTGTTGGACCAAATGGATGGGGCCACGAAGCGATACACGAAGTAGACGTGCCGAATCGGGAATTCTGAATCGAATTCTGCATGGGTGCCGGCGCCTTGATCACCAACACGTTTCTGCATCGCCACCTGGACGAGAAAGTCACGTTCAGAGAAGTTGGGGTGCCCGCGCTGGCTCCCAGTCTTTAAAAAAAACACAGCCTGTTGGATTTGCTTCTCTGCTCTGCGCACCAAGAATGTTGGACTCATTGGGCAACACTCCAAGAAATCACCGCGAAGCGGCCCTCGCCACATATCATTACCTGCTGACGTGCACCACGACAGTGCAGGGACCTCCAGAGAACGACCCACGCTACAAAAAACACGACACTAAGACCTGGGAGGCCGACGAGGTGCGAAACACATTCACTCAAGCATTCATGGAGAACGCGTACATTGCACACAATGTCGAAGGCATGTGGAACGCAACAAAATATGCGATGGGGCGTGCGAAATCAAAAATGCCATATCAAGAAAAAGTTGTGCAACAACCATGGGTTACGCAACGCACTTTGGATTTGATTGACAGGCGGAGCGGAGCACGCATGGTGAATAATAAATCATTGGAAAAAAACAATTGTTGAAGGAAGTACGGAAGTCAGTCAAACACGATAAAACAGAATGGATTGACACCATCATTTGCGATGGGTATTGGGCCGCACTGCAGCGAGCATGCCTGCCAAAACCGCACAAACAAGGCAGAATTCGAGATTTGAATTGCGAATTGGTGGATAGCAGTTGCAAGGCGGAAATCATGGCAGAATATCTGGAACGTATACAATGGAAAATTCGTCCGGCGACACTCCTCGACCTTGAACCTCTGGGAGCACAACTGCACATCCCAGAAGACGAATTCACGACCAAAGAAAAAGGGATCGCAATATCAAAACTCAAACGTGGAAAAGCGAGCGGACCTGATGACAGACCAGCTGAGTATTGGAAGGCTCTTGGCAAAGATCCTCACGCATTACATTGGGTCTCAAATTTCGTGAACAAATGCCGGAAAGACAAGCAACTGCCGACCGAGCGGCGCCATGCTCTGGTATCCACGATTGACAAAAACAAAAGACCAGTTGATCAATGTGACAGCTACAGACCAATCAGCCTTCTTTGTGTCATGTATAGGGTGCTCGCTAGCCTGCTATTGAACAAACTTCAACAAGCAGGAGCTGGAGAACGTCTAACATCAACACAATTTGGATTCAGGAAGAAGCGAGGTACATCTGACGCCATACACGCAGTGCGCCGACATGTTGAATTAGCTCATGCAGAACGAAATGGGCAACTCGCACTATTAGCATTACATTGGAAACAAGCTTTTGATT